TTAGGTTTAACTTTCTATTGCATAAGTGGGTTGTGATCGCATCTGCACTTCAAATTTATGTTTATAAATTAATGGAGATCTAATAGTTGGCCTAAGAATCAATAGTATGTGAATGGATAAAATTATAATTTAAGCCTAAGTTAATGTCCAGACACAAAAATATACCATAATTTCCTAAATTTTTTTTTAGTAACAACTAACAAGAGCATTACAACAATTGCAATCACTAATCAAATATACAGTGCACACATAGTTATAACTGGGACACGTCCACGTACCATATAATTTCCTCAATTTTATTTTTATTGTTGAAAGGTAATGCTGCATATACTGTCAGTGACATGATAGACCCCAATGCATAAATTAATGGTGGGTCTGATGCTGTGCATAAACGATCATTTCTTGAGTTCGTGAATTTTTCTGTAAGAGACTTTTCTTTCTGATATCTGTCTAAATTACCGGATAAGTTTTAATATGGGTACTTTCCTTTTGCTTCTTAAGGGGCTTTGTATTTGATAATAGATCTTATATTGACAAAAAGAGAAATCTTATTCAGACTTATAAATAAGTTGAATTATTTTTTATATTGTTAATTAATTTTACAATGAATATCAAACTCAGGGTATCAAAACTTATTCATAATGCATGCTGCCTAGATGTTTGACATGTTGAACAAGCGAACAGTACTGGTAGAAATCAACTGTTGAAGGAAAAATAGTGAAAGCTAATTCATGGTACGAAACCCATGTTTGTGATGATTCAAAGTATTTAAAATTTTTGGAAATAAATCATCTCCGGATCTTTTTTTACTTAATTCACCTAATCTGAAATCTAAACTGTTAAAATTTGATTCAACTTCAAATAAGAGATCTTTTTAAAAATTATAATAATTGTAACCGTTGATTTAAATTTCAATAGTACGAATTCTAGACTATAAATTAAATGAAAAGAGATGATCCCTTTCCAAAATTTATTGTCTATTTAGTAAAAAGTGATAGAATTAACACTTCAAGAGTCAGACAAAACGTTATAGATTTTGCTTTCTGGTATCATCACATTGTCCAAAAGTGTACCTTGAGAAGGAGCCCTACATTTTTACACCTGGCCTCCTAACGATGATACTGCAATGTAGCCATAATGATGATACTGCAATGTCATAGGGAAAGGGTATGATAAGACGAAAATGGATCCCCTCCATATTCTTTCTATCTAATCCTACAAGTTTATAAATTTATATCATTGAAATTTGATCAAATGATTAAAAACAAAGAATTCAAAAAAAGTTATAATAACTTTAATCGTTGGATCAAATTTTAAGAATTCGAATTTATGATCTTGATAAATTTAAGTGGAAAAGATTCGAATCATGATAGAGATACGCAATAAGATGCGCAGAGCTTGGAATTGTATGCCTAGAAGTGTATGGTCAAATACAGACTCTAGGGCTTGGGACATTCGGCAGGTCGTAGCTGCTGAGAGTGAAGAGTGTTGAGAGGGACTGGGCACTGTAGTATCTGACGGTGCACACCACTCCCTTCCTTACCGAATCTTCTTGTTTGTGTGGGAATGTGGGGACTCCATAACTCATGAATTCATGTTGAAAATCATTGCTATCCTTTTCCGGCCCCTCTCGTTTCCCTATATATGGTTAAATAACCTTTTTTTTTTTTTTTCATGTTTAAAGAAAAAGTTTAGTCTGACCCCCACTGTCAAACTGAAGTGGGTGCGACTTATCAGTTAAGTTCATGGGTGTACTGTGTAGAATTATTCATTCAAAGGACATATACATGTTCAATTATTTATTTTTAAATTAAATTTTATTGCATAGTTTATCCCACTTCAATATTACTATTATAAAAAGTAATTTTGAGAAGAATTTATCGATAAATAAGAACATGTTCAATTATTTATCAATGTTAATCTTCATGTTCATAAGGACTCAATTGATGAATGATTTCGATTAAGAATTTAGCTACAAAGTTTATAGCTTTAGTTATAATTAATTCATTGTAAGGTTTAAATCACTTTTTTCTCTCTTTAATACAAATAATATTAGTTTGGTCAAACAATATTTTTTTTTTATAGCTTACTACTTACAGTCAACTAAATAATTACTTCAAACTTTCAAAGGTGCGTTTTGATTATAAAAATAATCTAATTATATGGCATGCAAAGGCCAAATCGATGTCGATCTCCCTTGACTTTTCTTTGTTTTTGATCAACTATCAATCCCTAACTTATTCACTTTTAACCCCAAATTCTGGAAGAAGTGGATCTTTCAACATATCAATATCATAGAACTTTTGAGATCAAATAGTGTCCAAATCATGTTATGTATTTAAGTTTTGGACCGTCTCTCAAAATAATAACAAGGTATGGATTTTTTTTTTTTAAAGTCAGTTGCTCTTAATTGCATGCGAATAATATCATGGCCAACTTACATTGGTCAGTTTTGTTTGCAGTTAAGGTAAAAGCCCCAACGAATTGTGTACAACATTGCTCTCGCGTGCGACAGCTACCGATATTCGCAAAATTAATAGCTCGTTTGCTTTGAAATGGGATATATATATATATATATATATATATGTGATTTTTTTTTTTTTTGGTTCAATATAAATATATGATTTGAATGACATATCATGTCTGTCATAAAAAATGTGCCAGAAATAAAATAATTCTCCGACCAACTTGTTTTATAATTCTGAATTTTTGAAAACTTTTTGTATTTGTATAGATTAATAATAGCTTAAGAAACTAGTGTTGTGACCTCTCAACCAGAGCAAGGATCGGGGCTCAGAATATTGGTATACACTATGGACAAATGAGAAGTCTAATTTACGATGGAAAACCATTACTTTTGCGTCCAAATGACTATATCCGAGTCACCAACTGCTTAAGTAGCGTGAATGGGTCTTGAAAGTAAATATTGCTTATGTCAACTATAATTTATAAATAATATTTGCGTCAATGGCGAAATTGATTTATTGGTCCAAAATTTGATTTTCGAAAAATGACAGTGTCTCGTTGCACATACACTCGTGCATCTCTTAGGGCAAAACTACAAGTGAAGAGAGATTTAAAAAATATTTTTTTTACTTATATTATGACACGTGATATACCAACTTATATTTCGTTCACATAGAAAAATCTCTTAGTTCATTGAACTTGAATCTCATAAAGAATAGAAAAAAAATTATTGTTAGCACTTCGTGACATTTGTTGTGTAATATTCTAAATATTATTTCTCACTTACTGTTTAAAAAAACAGATGTGTATAAAACAGTCGCTCAGTTTTCCTATACATATAAAGGGAGAAGCAAAAAGAGTGAAGCTTTCATAATTTCCAAATTTTCCTTCTCCCATTAGGATTAAAAAAAAATATTCAAAAAAAAATATTATAAAAAAAAACAATGTAGGGTTGTTAGTAAGTTAATTATTTTCAAAATATATTTTAATAAAAAATAATAATATCTAAAATAAGTAAAATAAAAAGAAATTTATTGTAAACAATAAAAAAGCCTCAATTGCCATAGATGTAGCCGTTTGGCAAGAGACTAGTATATCTATATAAATAAAACAACATGGTGACGATAAACAAGCATTAAATAATGGTAGAGGGGATTCTAGAGAAATGCTTAGGCGACTCTCTCAGAGTGTGACTCTCCTTGGACTATGTCACCTCACGTTTTTAGCACAATGCTTCAGAATTTGATACGAGAATTGGCGTTAAACTGTGAGGTAGCCAAAAGTTCGTGGAGAGTCCCACTTTTGAGAAAGTCCCCTTAGCATTTCTTGGGTATTCTATTTTCTTTTTGTTGTTTGAAAAAAGCAGTGTATAACAACTATTATGTTTAATTTTAGAGATATTTATCTCACATAAATGACGATGATGATACATTTTGTAATGAATTAGATACCTAATTGTGAGTAAACCTCTTATAATAGAATAACATTATTGTGACAGCATAGGGATGGCAACGGTTCGGTTTGGGGACAGAAATGCTATATCCATCCCCATAACCACGAAAATTAACTATATCCATAACCATGTCCACCGAGTAACGAATTTTCAATCGGTTATCGGTTATATCCATCTTCGTCAAAAAATTATATTCATCCAATTAATGCATTATAAATTCTAGTAGATATTAATTCGATCGTTAAATAGCAACATCCAATTACAAAAAAACTTAACAATATATTTGAAGCTGTTCATGATAAGTCAATATGATAAATTGATCCAATAAAAAAGAAAAAGAGGACAAAAGCAAATACAAAAGGAAGACAAAACAAATTGATTCAATGAATTAATTTCTTGATAGTGAGACTCTTGAAGAGAGATAAATATGATAAACTTGGAACATTTGATAATTGATATATAAAATGATTCAATGAATTAATTTGGTTAAGTATAACAATAAGAGTATTGAATTGATGAGGTTGTTGGTATGTCCCATGCATGATGTTTGGTGCATAAAGATAGTATAGGGTTTGATGCATGCATAATGAATTAGTATAGAGAGGGTTCGGTAAATTGAATAAAATTATATTATATATCAAATATATATATACACACACACAATATATTCGGGTCGAATTCGGGGACGGATATGAATTGAAGACCCCTATAACCATATCCAAAATCATAACCGAATAAAGTTCACGGTTTTTCCCCATATTCATACCATACCCGAATTTTCATATCCAAATCCAATTCATTCGGACAGTTATCCACGGTTATTGAGTTTAACGGTTAGAATTGACATCCCTATGTATTATGTAAATGACTTGTAAATATCATATTGTTCGTGAAAAACAAGATAAAATGGTTGATTATTGAGGATAATACGTCTTGTAATTCAGATAATGAATAATTCAAATTCAGAAATATCATCAACAAAATAGAGACCAATATTAATAGCTAACCGGTAAGTATGACACATTCAACACAGTTTATACATGCATGCAAACCCTAACGGATTGTTCTGAACAAGAAGACATGAAGATGATAAGACTCGCATTAATGGTAGAAGGTTGGTTGTTACATCCAAACAAAGAACTAGAGGAAAAAAGTTCAAAGAAAAGGAACAGATGGAAGAAATAAAATAAAAGAAGATGACAGATCAAGAACAACCTATTTGTTTGCCATCTATGGCAAAAACATGAGTGGATTGGAGTCAACTTTTTCACACCTATTCTGAGCTTTAGACTAAAACCCAAATATATTGGTTACTAACGTTGGGAATTGGACAGCATCACAGGAGCAGACTTCTCAAAGAGTCCTAGCCTGTAATCAGCCAGCCTTGACCTGTACGCAGACTTTTTGTATTCACTCCACGTGAACTCCATGTACAAGCTCTCTTCTTCTTCTGCCATTAGTGACGGCAGAGGTGCTATCTTCTCACTCAAAGGTGGCCCTCCAAAGTAGATCATTGAAATCCTTGAACTAACTGTGTCAGCCAAAACCCTATGTTTCACACTCTTAAACCGCCCATTAGTCATCACCTGCATCAAAATCCCACTCCCAAGTTAGCAAGAACAGCCAGTTTATATTACTTTGCTCTGCAAAAAGCTATATGTGGGCCGCTAAAAGATTTCACGGCCGACGCAACAGCAATAAGATATTTTAGGGTAAATTTCAAATAGTGAAGAGGAAGTGCTGGTTGTCGCATGTCGTAAGAGTGCGTTATGGAAGAAAAACAAAGATGAAATGCAAGTCGCCTGCTAGAAGTTAGGTTTTGACCTTAATTTCCAGAGAAAACTAATAAAATAGTGAAAAGACAAACTTAAAATTTATAAATATATATATGTATGTATGTATATATGTGTCTGTGTATATATTATCTATATATAATATAAACAATGAAAGAGTTTCATTTAAATGGGTACCTGCAAGCAATCACCAACATTGATGAAAAAGGCAGTCTGATCAGGTGCTACTGTGACCCAAGTCCCATCCTTGATACAGATCTGCAGGCCTGATGTGTTGTTGGATTTCAGGACAGAAACGATCTGTGGGTCTGTGTGCTCCCCAAACCCTATCAAATTTCGTCCACTCAATGCCTGAAGCTCTGGACATGGCGGATAGTAGTTTAGCCTGAAACATGAGTCACTCTTCTCATCTGTCAAGAGCTTGCTCAGCACATTCCTTTGCTCAATCCCCAGCCCATCAGCCACCATTTCGAGCACTGCAAAAGTCATGTTCTTCACTGCCGTAATATAATCTTCAACTGCAGCACTGAAAAAAGAAAAAGTAAATTAGTTTAAGAGTAAAGAATTTGAAACGAGCGCAGGAGACCAAAAATGAGCGTTACTATACTTAATTTATGTTTTTGTTTCTTTGTAAGGCAGACCATGAAAAGTGTTTAACGTTGCACCTGATGTTCTATGTTTTCCAGTATCGCTTGTACAAAATGAAAATAAATAAAAACAGAGAAGAACAGAGTACTCTGTTTTTTGTAAGAATTTTTACCGGAAAATTTCAGGGTTTTCCTTTAGAATGGAGAGGGACTTGTGAGATGTGATATCAGGATTGGTGTTGAGGAGGATATATTCGATCCAACCCATGTCGCCGTTTGGACCGATTCTCTTGCTGCCGTAGCCGAAAGGGTCGGCGGGGCCAGCCTTGTCCTTCTCCGACTGTGGCAGGCTGAAAAATTTGAGAGCTTGGGCTTCCAGAGTGGTCATGAATTCCAATGGAACTCCATGGTTGATCACTTTGAATATGCCGTACTCCTCACAGGCCCTGACTATGCGGTGCTTTGCGTCAGGCCTCGAAAGGTCGACGACTGGGATGCCGGCGAACAGGCCCGTGGGCTTGCATGTTTTGATTAGGTCAGAAAAATGGTCTAATGCAGCTGGTTGTGACAGAACCACCATAGCTAATAGATATGTGTTTTTAGAGAGAGAAAGAGTCTAGATAGAGAGATTGGTTCAATCGTGGAAGAAGAAGAGGGTTTGTAAGCTTTCGGAGTTTGAGTTGGGCGAGAATGTGCAGGAGGAGGGTGATGGGGGGTTTAAATGGGGGAAAGGTGTGAGGGTTTGCTTATGCATGAGGGAGGGATATAGAGGCGTTAGCAACTATAAAGAGGAGCCATCTGACTTTTGTGTGTTCGCTTGGTTGGTGTAGTGTTTAGAGTAAGTTATTCTTACCATAATTTTATATCACATTTATTTATCATCTTAGATGGCTGATGGGTTGGAGAAGCTGTATCATTTAATTTCAATATTTTTATTAATTAATACACTTAAATAATCTTAGGTGGAAGAATGAGACTCATTGTATATCATAATCATTATTTAATTAATAATTTTTTTTATTAATTATTGATTAACATTTTGAAATTAAATGTTAATTAATTTAGATGATATGACTCTTCACATCTGATATCACTTAAGATGGTATATAATTATAGTACAAAAATATGATAAGAATGAAGTTATTGGTGGAGTTTATACTTTCGAGGGAGAGAAAAATTATTTTTCCTATTTTCATGTAAGTAATTCTATCTCTAGACCCAAAGTTGATATATTTTTATTCACAAATTTTTTTAACTGAGAGGATATCTAAATGTGAGACCCACCTTTATTCCAAAGTTGAACACAAGAATGTCAAGTTTATGTGTAAAGACGGTATTAAAGATGTGTATTCAATTGAAATTTTAAAAGATTCATAAATATATGAAGTTTACGTATTTCGTTGAGATTTTGAAAGATTTTGATATCAATAATTCTACTTTAAAATTTAAATAAATTCATAAAAATCTAGGGATATATTTAAATATTTTATTGAATACCATATGAAATTGTAAACTTCAAATGCCTAACTGAATACACCTGTTTTATTCTTTTTGTTTTTGTTTTTGTTTTTTTTTTTTTTTGCCGCATTCTTTCTGTATTTTTAATTACGTAAAAGATATGTTCTAAATGTTCTGGAATATTCCACATAGTTATTAAATTCTTAATAAAAAATGGACGTTCAAAATTGAAATATAAAATATTTCGAAATTCTCTCAAATTTTATATTACTATGCTACATAGAAGAGGACCACTGCATTCACTTTTATATAATATTGATATTGTTATTGTAGATGTATTCTCTTATATTATATAAATATGTTTTTGTTATTTATAGAACTTTCGAGATATGTATGGCATGTATTGATAATGATTTATCTGATTAATGAAATACTATTTATTTTCAAAAATGAGTCACGAGTTATATTCTTTTACTTCCAGTTACATGCTGAGTTACCATTTCGACCAACTGTACAAAACCTTTACTTGCTTCCTTACCAAAAAGAAGAAAGGAAACCTTTACCCTATTGAGGATAAGGTAAAAATTAAGAGGAAAGCTGAGTAAATGCTCAAAATTTCTAATCTGAGTACAAAATCTCATGGATGCATTTCTTGGGTCACCGAATTTGCTTTAGTACTCCGTTTAACTCGAAGACAGAAATACGATACCGTTTTATATAGTACCGCTGGATGAAGAAGAGAATTAATCTACCGATGTGTTGTGAGATGTCTCCTATATTCCCACCACCACCACCCCACCCCAAAAAAAAAAAAAACAGAGACATAAGATAAAGGAAGGTAATTTGGAGCAGCTGTTAGCCTGTTACACGATGAATTCTGATTCACGAGAAAACCACAGGTGCTGCCATTCAACGATATTCTTATGAAACTTTTCCTTTTAGAGATGTTTTAATATAAACGAGTCCAAAATGATACTTAATTGGTTTTCCTAATTCTGGTTCGAAAAATGGAAAGCTCTCTGTTAATTAAAGATTACGATCAAGTGCAAACGAGATCCCATTTCAGTGATAATTATGAGTATATATGGACATCATTTGCAAAATTTGATTGCCAAATTTAATTTTTTAATTAGGGTTATTATGATGTTTATGTACATCATTTGATAAACATATTTGATTAGTAAATTAGGTGACTGCCACTATATGCTTACGTACCTTCTGAGGTATGAGAGGGAAATTTTTAGCTGTGACGGGAATACGGATGGTACACTACGTGTTTTTATGTAAGTAGTGGAAAATTTTAATTTTTAAGTTATTAACCTTTTAACATACATAACCCACAATTTATATATGGACACGTGATGTACCATTTCGTGTGATAGACACACTGAAAAATCTCTCAATATGAAAACTATTGAAAGAGATTCTGTCAGAATTGTACCAAAAATATTCCGTAAGAAACTGGAAGTAGCATCAATACTTTTTAGTTCTCTTAACATAAAAAGAAAAAAAAAACTAATAAAAATGACTTGAAAATTTTGAGTTGTAACGAAAATAACAAACTAAAGAGTAAAGTGAATAGTACAAGGATTGACTTTTTAGTGTAAAAATATGATTTTTCGTTAAAATAAACAGTACTGAGAGCTTTTCATTAAAGTTTCCCATAAAAGAAAGAAGAAAAGATAACCAATCCATTTTAATATAAAGTAGAAGATAAAATGTTACTTCTCTTCTTCTACCTTTCTGATTCCATGAGGGTGTCATCACTCATCATTCAAGTTAGGAGACTGGTTAGGGTAAAGATCAAGAGCTTAAATTAATCGAAATGTTTGTTGTTTTACACGTAAATGTGATGCGGATTTCCATGCGTAAAAGTTCTAATACATTAAGGTAAAACGATAAAAGAAGAAACTTGATATTTGATTGCTTAGATATGGTATTTAAAAGAAAAAAGAATCAATCTGATCCTAAACCCTTTCTCCAACAAAGATTCCAATATTATTACTGCTAAACAGTAATCAACTGTAAAATCCCATCCCTTTTATGTTAATTAACATCAAAGTGGCTAGCTAGCACCTTAAGGTCCCAAAGCTACCCCTAATCACATCACTTGCATATAATAATAAAAAATTAACTAAATAATAAAAAGGATTATGCAAGCATGAAAGCGGTACCATTCTTTTCGCATTGGGATGAAAGGGATATAGCTGACTTTGATTAATTGTTTTTAGTGAGGTTCTTCATCTTATTCATAACCGTAATTTTTACGTAAATTTAATCAGTTGTTTTCTTTATTATGGTGATATGTGTTTTAGTGGCATTTACAAGTTTGGTTAGCTGCCGAATAAGAGTGAGGTATACACACATGAGTAATTAGAGGAGACAAATTTTTGTAAAACTTTATGTGTCACTCGATAATGTCTAATGGCACGTAAAAGATTTAACTACAATTTCCTATTTACATAAAAAATTAAAAATATATTATTTCCAACATTAGAACTAGAATAAAATAAAAACACTCCGCCCCAGACCTTCCTCCACTGGAAAAGCTTCAAGTGCAAGTCTAAAGGTGGGAAAAGAAATTTAATATAAAGTAAGGGAAGCTTGTTGCTTTCATCGCGTTCCTCCAGTTTATGAATAAAATCTCCTTTGTCTTCCAAGGATTGATCCCATCCTTTCATTGTAGACATCGAAATTTTAATGAAGTAAATTCGTTAAAAAATTAAATTTTGGCTCGCTAGGGCTCATATGGTACATACTATGTGTCTCGTCAAATTGCAAACATTGCATGTGACTCATCAAAGTCAGACGTGTCATTAAAAATGACACATGTCAACATCTGAGACCTCTATTAAACAAATCAAATCAAGTCAAAAAGAGAAAATTAGCCCTAATTGATCAAATATCTCAATTGGGGTTTAATTCCTTAAATTTCTGATTTCGATTTAATTAATGACTAAATTAAATCAATTATTCTAAATTAAATCAAATCAAATACAAAAGGGGACAAATCAACTATAATTTGATGAAATTATATCAATTAGGGTTTTTTTTTTAATTAAAGATTATGATTCAATTAAGAGCTAAATTAAATTAGCTCAAGTTAAGTCAAATCAAAAAATCAATCTCACAAATTACGGAATTCAAATTCATCCACCACTAAAGCTGAAGCCAACTCACCACGTGACATTACTCGTGGTCTACTTTCGTTTAAGATCAAGTGGCAAAGGCCATTAAAGAAACCACAAACATGAGTCAAGATCAAGTGTTCATCACCCTTAAATCAAATTCTACTTTGAAGATTGAATTCGAGAAGTATTTAAAAAAAAAACACACACACACACACACAAAGGTTGTAGCACTAAATACATTAATACAAAAATTTATTTGGTACACCTACGTGTTCTTCTGTTTTTTTTTTTTTTTTTTTTTTTTTCGCCCCCGAAGTTCTTCTGTAGTTTAATGAATCTCATGTCAAATACAAAAGGGGCAAAATATAATGGTCAATTTACAGTTCGCACGCTTATTTTTTGGGGCATATTACAATTTGATCCATATAATTTAAAATTTTGATATTTTCCTACCCTAAAGTTATAGAGTTTTACATTCTTGTCCTTTCATTTTTCAAACTATCAAGTTGGCTATTTATTATCTTTTGACACGACACTCCATATGCCTACCTTTTACTACAAAATCACCATATGAACGTCATATATGTCACGATGAATCTCTATCTATATCTAGAAGGTTAAGAATTTATTCAAAAACGAAAGTTCTTACATTTTGTCCATATAACATTTATTAATGAAAAAATTAGTATTCGGTCCCTAGTTACTAATATTCATTAACTAAAATCTTATTAGTTTTTAGATTTTGATCTAAGTCCCTAGTATTAATGTAATAACGAATTTACATGTCAGTTACATAATTTTTTTTAAATAAAAATTAATAATTGATTTAGGATTTTAATACTCACACCTTTGTTAAACTCCTGACTAATTTTTAATCCAAAAAATTTCCAAAATAAATAAAAAATTAGAATAAGTTTGTACCCATTCGTCTTTTTAAAAAAATGTTTTCAATTTTTTAATCTTATATGTACTGTCACATCCCGACCCGGGGCAGATCACTTCCCGGGCTCGCTCCATTACCGTAGCACGATATTGTCCGCTTTGGGCTTACCATTCCCTCACAGTTTTGCTTTTTGGGAACTCACGAGCAACTTCCCAGTGGGTCACCCATCATGGGATTGCTCTAGCCCCCTTCTCGCTTAACTTCGGAGTTCCTACGGAACCCGAAGCCGGTGAGCTCCCAAAAGGCCTCGTGCTAGGTAGAGATG